AAAGTGACGAAATCAACAAAAAACAATATGATAAACCAATTATTTTGTAGATTTTAAATTATGGAGTAAATTTAAAAAAATAAAATTCATGATGTCAAATTCTAATTCACCCAATTCACCAATTCCTTCTAATTGCAAACATTAAAATTGGATACATATCTGAAAATTCATTTAACAATAATCAAGAATTAGTTACAGGACGTCCTGTGTCTGATATATGGTCACACTTCATTAAAATAGTAATGAAGAAGCATTTCAACGATCAGAATTATCAGATGATTGTACAGATTTCAAATGTTGATATTTTCTCAGAACCTGCTAAATCAATAAGGTTCAATGAACCCAATATTTCTATTTTGTATTTGAATTCGTAATTGTAATATGAATCACGAATATGCTATGACTTCTTGAAGATTTATTATCCCATTTTTGTAGAAGCAACTGATCAATTCTTTGTCGCTGATTTAAGCACTTGGTTAACAAAGTCTAGTGGCTCAAATTTACTGTTTGAAAATCTGCCTAATTCACATCTTTTAATTCATTTTTTAAAAGCTTTTCGTTTACAGTTATTAACAATAAAAATGTAGCCACTTGAATTTTTATGAGATGCGTGTGATGAAGTGTTAAGTATCATTATAAATACCATTTGCAATTGGTAGAGAATTATTAAATAATTCATAATAAGTTCTAGTACAAGATCTTCTCTGTCTAATGATAATAAATTATAAAATGACATTTTTTTTTGGAATTATTAAGATAGTAGATATAAAAAATGTTTAAATCAATTTTTACGCAAAGCATATATCCTTTTATAGAGAATTGGATAACGTAAAATTAGAAGCATAATGTAAAAAACCATTATTGACTTTTTAATAAATTTATAAGAATTTTAAATTTTTTTGTTGAAAAAAAAAGTATATTATTTTTAACCAGTTCAAGGGCCGGATATTACCTAGCACTTGCACACCAACACTGTTAAATTTGACGTTATATAGAAAAAAAAGGTTTTGCTTGAAAATATGCCTATTTTCAATCTAGATCCGAGTGATACATTTGGAGCCTTAGTTACAAGATACATATTCAATTAATCAAGTTTTGATGAATACAGTAGTATCAATGCTGGAAATAATTTGCGAATTTTATAAAAGCTTGCATTAATTTATTTTCATTTATCCATTTTCTATGTTCATAACATATTTTTTCTAAAAATATAAAGTTTAATTTTTTCAGTTAGGGAGGTTCGAGGTAAATAAATCAAAAAATTTGCTAATTCAGTTGGCTTAGCATTGTTATCAATTATACAAATATATGATGATGTGTCTGACATGTTCAATGTAGGAGTTGAATCTTTAACTTGGATCTCTATTTTATTATTAATTTTTTTAGTTTACGCACATTCTTTATTAGAAGAATAAAATATATTTGATAATATATGGTATGGATAGTATCTAGTATTGATGGTATTTAAAATCTATCACGAGTATATCTAGTAAAAGGAATATTAATTTAACTTGCTTTTGAAAAAAAAAAAAAAAAAAGAAAATTATAATCTTTCGAAATAATTTGTTAATATTAACACATACTTTTTATCAAAATTTTGGTTAACTGCAAGCAGTTTAACTTGTGTTCCTTTTTCAATGTTATTCCACGGTGTTGGATTGTTTTTCCTGATTCAAACAAATGAATATTAATTTCAAACAAAATATTAATTTTTCTTTTTTTTTTCTTTCTTCTTCTCTAAACTTATACTTACTTATCCCATACAACTTCGGGTCCTCTTGCTAAACGAGTTAAATACCAACCAGCGCCTACAAGAGCTAATCCCTATTTAATCAATTATCAATTATTAATAACCGTTAATTGTTTGTAGAGTAATAAATAAATTAAAAAAATAGAAATAAATATGATAAATAATGATTACGGTGACGCCATAGAGTGGAACTGCTTCGGTACGATACCAATTTCTCATAAATGCGCCTTTTAGAGCCGAAGACATTTTTTATTTTATTATTCAAAAGTGAGTAGGGAGGGATTGATTTGGTGAATCAGCGAGAGTTTGTGAGTGCGAGTGTGTAAAATTGAAAGAATAATTTTTTTAAAAAAACTCATTTTCCTATATTTATATATTTATAGAATTCGGGAATAACCGTTACTTGTATTCGGTGATTCTAAGGGATGCAAGAATTTTTCAAACAAATTCATAAATTATATTAACCAAAAATATCTCAAATACACGTGAGCCAATTAAAACAGATCCATACAGGGACGATGATTTTCTGCGGTGAAAAAAAAATTTTTGCCATTAATAGTAAAGTTTTACCTTCATATTGTTATTAACATATACGGAAGTGGTTTTTTGAACAATAGTGTCAATGAAAAGTCATTTATCCTTTAATTAATGAAATAATTAAATCAAATTTCATTTTATTTAGATTGATATTGCCACTACTGTTTAAAAAACCACTTTCAGTAACTGCAAACATGCTATGAGTGCTCATGTCATTCTTAAACAGAATTTCTTATTATTAATTGGTTTGGATATAGTTCACGCAGGGTTTTGTAAAAATATAATAAATAAACAAATTTTTTCTTTATTTTTTATAAAATAATTTTTTTTGTAAATAATCACGCATTCATTATAAAGAAAAAATATATTTATTCACAAAAAAATTAAATACATTTATTATTAAAGCTTTTATTTGTTTTAACTAAAGGACAAAATGAACAGAACAAACTCCAAAACATTGATAATAGTAGTCCTGTTAAGCTTTACCTTCATCATTGGGTTCACAACTCCAGTTCAATCAATTAGTCTTGAACATTTACGAAAAGAACAAGGATCAAGTACATCAGATGTTACTCGTAATTATTATTTTTTATTTATTTTTTTATTTTATAGCGCCAGCAACTAGTAATCACTATTTGTGAATCAAAGAATGTTTTATTTATTCATTTCATAGCACCAGTAAATTCAACAGGTGTTACTAATGTTGTCCACAAGGTTCCAACCAATCTTGTATCAACTTTTATTTTTTTTAAAAAAAAATCGCGACATATCAATTACAAAAATAAAAGGATATTCAGCACTTAATCAACTTTAGATATAATTCTGCTCTTGGTACCCGAATCTGATATTTCTGCGATTATTGCTTAACGCCAAAGAATCACCCCTGTCTAGGTACAACATATCTGAGGTTTGTAGTCTCATATGGTAAATAATTTGATATTTTGTTCAATGATTACAATTGTTATTATTAGAAGATCAAGATGAGTGGATTATTGTTCACTCCAAGAATTCAATCTGTTTAAATATCTCATAAAAATTTTGATGATGGATAAGAAAGACTAATTTAAAACATTGTAGATTGTTCCAGAAATTTCTGTTGCTTTCTTTGCAATAAAGCAAAAAGATCACACTTGCGGTGATTAACAAGATCCTCAGTCAATCCCATTGTATGAAAAGCACGTCAGATTGCTTCTTAAATTTTAGGTCTTGTTAATGTGATATTACATTTTGCAATGAAGTAGTAGTAACATTAATTAAAATCCTTGTAAATCTTTTTAAATTTTCATTAGATGTTGGGAAGTTTTAAACCATCCAATATTAAAATTCTTGATGTAAGATAGCTTCCTTAGTTTCAGGCCGTTGACAAGAATTCATTCATGCATTCCAATTGAATCTTTGATGAATAAATTCTCGCTTCTGGAATTTTTTTATATTGATGATATTCATGAAATTATATTTGAAGATGAAGGTAATGAAATAAAAGAGATGATGGAATTTGCATCTTCAATTGTTTTAGAGATTGAAAACCGTTTTCCAAATTGACATTCATCTAATTTCGATGTATCGGAATGGCCATTAAATGTCAGTGTAAATAATTAATTATCATGATATATCTTTAGTGATCCAGATAGTGTCAACGTCAATAAAGAATGGTGTCATTTTATGAGCAATAATTTTAGCAAACTAAATCAATGTGAACTAATTGTCTTTATAAAAATCATTCCCTATTTATCTAAGGCTCTGAACAAATCAATGAAATTCGGATCGAATAATCTGATTTTTGATTCGTTTCTGATTCGAATATATAAATGGAAATAATCCAATGAAATTATTCAGATAAACACGATTTTTTCTTGTGTGTCCAGATTCGTCGAAATGATGTTTGACTATACTTGTTCTCATTTTATTGTTAAATATAATATCAATCTAAAGTTTTTTGTCGATTTTGAATTTAAAATCTGACTCGTTCGGAAACTTAAATATCATAAAACCTCAGAGATAATCATCTAATAGGTATGTTCATAATGATTGGAAGGTGGTGATAGCTTGGATGGAATAAATAAAATAAAATTGTCACAAATTTTTTATTTATTTAAACTACAAAATATTTTCACGTGCACACAGTCACATAAGTTCGTGTCCGTTTTTAAATAATTAATGTGATATATCCTTTGAGAATAATATCTTTTTGAAGAAAGTTCAACTACACTGTTATATATTGATTTCTTATAAATTTAAAAATAGATCCATGCTTGAATATATTTTGATTGATATCTCTTTTATTATCACCAGTATGTTAAGAATTCGAATTATCTAATCGATCTTATTTATTAATTTGTTACTTGATAACTTATTTTATTTTAAATTTCTATATTCAAAACGCTCACTTACTTTCTCAAAGATTAATTTTCTCAAAAAGTATACTTAAATTTACTTTGTATTTTTATTTTTTCAAGAGGAAAGAAAGAAACCCATGATTTTGTGCCATGGGAAGAAAAGTATTTAAACTTTAATTATCCATATTTAAACTTTTTGTGTGTAAGCTGGATAAATATTATGATGTCGAACAACAAAAATACTTGCTATATAGCTTATGTTTAAGCATCATCAGAAAATAACAGTGACAACGGTATTAAAGACAAAAGGCAAATAACAATGAATTCGAGTTTTATTCATGTTGTGATCTGGTAAAAAAATATATTTACAAATACATTTAGGTTTTCCTATGTCGTGATACATTTAATTGTATCCGCTGAAATGGAAATTCATTATTATTAAAGACTTCTACAAAAGCCTTCTATATTATTAAAACGCATAAATTCAGCCAGCTTTACTATTATTATATTATTATATAATTCATTGTGATCAACATCACATAACCGAATAATAATTAAATTCCACAAAGGGAAATGCAAGTTGCAGATCACAGCCAACCACTCACTCAAAAGGTAAAGTACCGCAGGTGTTCTTAATTTATCAAGTTGAATTGCTAAACGAGATCCTCGGGAGAACTGGGCAGCTGCTTTCCGAGCTGAAATTAATTCTTGAAGAAGCAATTTGGGGTCGTGCATATGGCATTCTATACAACTTGCGACTCTATCCGTCAACGTATCTGTTTTCCTGATGCAGACAGCGTTGCCACATTGTATTCACGATGACTTGTTTTCCTGATGCGGCAAGTAGGTTGTTTAGTATATGTTTCAAAAACAATTAATCGCCGAAGCTGTTATCGTTAATGTTATTAATCATTATTAATAATTATGTGTTTTAATGCATGTTATAAGAATAATAAAAATAAAAAATCAAGAAACAAATAATTCTTTGAACATCCAAAAGAATCACACGAATAAATATATTTAACCACTTGAACAATATAAGCAATTCATTGATTGGATTTCGTAATTTTGTCAGCACACTAATTATGTTATGTATTATATATTACTGTAGTTTCAAATCGCCCTTCTAACGGAATCTTAGAACTTGAAAACGTTTCAACCGAGATTTGATTCATTTGAAGAGAGAGTTGATTTGTTCGTTGATTTTTTCCATGGAAGAATACACATTTAGATGCTTAATATTGTTATCGGTAAAATGTTTTGATTGACAAAAACAATTCCTAAAAAGAATAAAAGAATCGGTTTTACATTTTTTGTTTGTTACATTTTTTTTTCTTTCTGATAATATTATTAATATTAATACAATAGAATTTTTTTAATATTGATATTAACGCTTAATATTTTTTTTAAACTCTTTTTTCTTAAATCTATCACCCCATCCATATATAATAATAATAAATGAATTTAAATCTCAAACATAAGCTTCATTTATTATTTATTATAATATTTATTACTACCAATGCATATTCTGATCTTACCATAAACCGTTATGCGCCTGTTAGTACAGTGGTAGATAATAAGCTCTTCATTCTTGGAGGCTTTAGTGTAGAATTGAAAATTATGTTAGATACGGTGGTTTATCTGGATTTAACTAGTGATTTCAATGTTGCCAATGCACCGATAATTAATGAAGCTGCAAAAAAAATTCCCGTGAGAACCTGTTGGGGAGTAACTGGAGTTGGTGGAATAAGCAAATCAACGATATTTTTGGTTGGTGGAATTATGATGGATCCAAACACTAATAAAAATAACTTTGATAATTTGTTTTATACATATGATGTGAATACAAAAGTTTGGAATAATCCAAAAGCAACAGGAATTGCGCCCGCTAATCGTAGAGAGGATGCCGCTGTTGTGGACGATAGTGGAAAAATGTATATTTTTGGTGGATTAGCAGATAAATTTACTGGGACTGCCACTTTTCAAATTTTTAACGATTTGAACATTTTGAATACGGTAGACCTGGTTTGGACTCCAGTCACTGTAAATAATCCACCATTGCCAACTTGCGATCATACATTAACTTTATTACCTGATGGTAAAATTGTAGTTATCGGTGGAAGAGAGGCAAAAGATATTACAGGTGTAGGCAATTATGAAGCTGACATCTATAAAGTATGCATTTTTATATATATATATACGAATTTAAAGTTTTTTTTTCTATATATATATATATTCGTATGTTTATAATTATTTATTTAATAGATAAAAATTTTTGATACAAAACTTTTAACTTGGCAAACTATGGTAATTATTTAAAAGATATTATTTATGAAAAAAGAAAAAAGATAGAATTGTTTAAATTATTTTTTTCTTACAATTGGATAAAAAATTTAGGTTGCGGATGGTCCTCTATCTATCGAACCTCGAAGTTGTCATTCAGCTGTACTTTGTAATCAAATTTTATAATTTAAAATTTTTTTTTTTTTTGGAATTAAAAAAATCATGCTAAAATTTATATATCTCATATATATATATATAGCAAAGGATGGAAGGATAATTGTTTATGGTGGTAATAGGGAACCTTCAAGAGTTACAGCATTTCCTGAGCTTATTGTGCTGGACACAAAGGTCAATCCTTTTCGTTGGTCTGCACCCAATTTTTCGCCCACTAATCGTGCTCCACCTCTAACATTGCATACATCCAATTTAATTGGAAATCAAATGATAATAAGTTTTGGTATTTTTTTTTTTATTTTTTTTTAAAAATTATTTATTCTTTCAACCCTGAAATAAATTAAAAATTATATATATATAGGGAATATTACAAATAACCTTACAGCACAACAATCAACTAGTGGAAACATCTATATACTTGATATTAAAGATTATAGTTGGAAATCAAGTTATTCGGCAGCTGAGGCAAATTTAACACCGTCATCATCATCATCACCATCACCATCACCATCAACAACAACAACAACAACAACAACAACATCATCATCGTCAACATCATCATCATCACAATCAGATACATCATCATCACCACAAAGCGCTGTTCAAATATTAATAATACTGGTGGGGATTTTGGGTGGATTAATAATATTTGGAATAGCTGCATTCATAATTGTAAAATTATATCGAAGGAAAAAAAATGTTCCGCTTGATGTTATAAAAATTCCTAGTGAACAACAAGTTCAACAAAATAAATATACTCGAATTGTTCCTAATCCTCACTATAATAATCTTGGTAGTGTTGATCAATCAGCACTAAGAAGATAATAATTTTTGTATTAATATATATTAATAATTTAATGTAAAATTTTTTTGCCAAAAATAAAAATAAAAAATTTTGTTTTTAGATTTCTAACAAATTCTATTTTGCAAACAATTTCGACTATTATAAGATTGAAATTTTAATTCATTGTAATTGCATGAATTAATTAGTCAATGAGTTGAATTCCAAAGATGGCTTATTCTTGGAAGGTTACTATATACATGTAAGAGCTTGCTTGAAACGTGAATGCAGCTATGAATCAACAAATTTTTAATGGTAAAATCGAAACCGAAATTTATTAAACGGATTTTATAGAAGTTTATTTTTTAAAAAAATAGTGCATCTTTTTCTCTCGCTATATACCATTAACGAAAACGAAATACTTTCAAACAAGACAAATAAAGTCTAGTACTGGTGATATAGAAAAATCTATTTGGTAACTTTAAAAATAAATATTGTCTATAGTTTTGATACAACGTTTAATGGACTTTCAGGCCTTTTTGAGTTGTAGAATTATTATTATGCGATGGTCTAAAGAACACAGAGCTAAAAAATGTATTTATTATTTATCGAATTTCGATTTTTGCTAGGTGTATTAATATTAATATTATACACAGTGAATCTCGATCTAGCGGTCCTCGATTTAACAGATACTAATTAAAAATCTTGATAAAATTATAAAACTCTCCTTAATATAACGGATTTCTTGGAAAAAATTTTCTAATGTCCGCTAAACCGAGATTTATTGTGTATATATAATGTAAATACAAAAAATTTGAAATGTTCTAAAGACAACTGGTGTTGCTCCCATGAATCGTCAAAAAATAGAGTCTTCATAGATAAAAATAGATTAACAGATAAAGTTACTGGGTCTGTTAATTATTGTACACTTTGAACGCAGCAGACCTGGCTAGCATCTATAATAATATATATTGTATAGCAAACTAAAAATGTGATTTAAACATTTAGTTGAAAAACAAGTTATGTATGTAAACTTAGCACCACATCTCATTAACCAAATTTGGGTGGAATAATAGTGGTTGCACGACAACTTTGGCAATACAGGAATTCTCGATTTGCTCCTAATTCCTTATCTTATCCTAATAATAATGTTGGTAGTCCATGACACCTTGGCCAAGATAATTATTTTATTTAAATGACAAATTCGTGTTTTGTATATTTATAGGATTATAATCATGTTGACCGATAAATCAGGTCATTTGACTAGATTTTGAAATGATAAACCTTTATTATTTAATCCAAGGGATGGAAGAACATAATTCTATTTACTACATACAGGGTGGACGCAACAGTCTTTTTTATCAAATTTGAAGAACGTCGTTAGCTTAGAAACCGTACCAACTTGACTTGATATAATTTCCTTTTAGTTGTAAAAACACTACCATAATAATACGGTAATTTCCTTCTAAAATGGGATTCGGCAGACCCTTTCCTAAACTCCCTCCACCATTCCTGATACCTCGTCCGGAAAATGAACTTTTAAAAAAACTTTGTCATGCTATTCTTTGAATCACAGAGAAAAAAACTGGAAATTTTTTTATCCAACTTGTTTAGTTATCGAGCCTATACGTTTTAAATTTTAACAGAATTTTAACATTTTGGATGATTTTTACTAATAAAATTAAAAAAAAAAAACTGTCACCATGTTCAGCATCACATTAATTACAATTTTTCTTAATTTCATACTTTGTATCTTTTTTTTGAAGAAGATGTAATTTTTATTTTTATATTTGTTTATTAGTAAATTTTATATATGACGTTTTAGTTTTGATCTACATAGTCCATTATCTTATCCTAATAATAATGTTGGTGGTCCATGACACCTTGGCTAAGATAATTATTTTATTTAAATGACAAATTTGTATTTTGTATATTTATAGGATTATAGTCACGTTGACCGATAAATCAGATCATTTTGACTAGATTTTGAAATGATAAACCTTTATTATTTAATCCAAGGGATGGTAGAGCATAACTCTATTTACTACATACAGGGTGGACGTAACAGGCTTTTTATCTAATTTGAAGAACGTTGTCAGCTTAGAAACCGTACCAACTTGGCTTGATATAATTTCCTTTAGTTGTAAAAACACTACCATAATAATACGGTAATTTCCTTCTAAAATGGGATTCGGCAGACCCTTTCCTAAACTCCCTCCACCATTCCTGATACCTCGTCCGGAAAATGAACTAGCCATTTTAGGACTAATTCTCCTTCGCTTCCTTACATTATTAGAATACAATAATGTTGATCATAAATTTTACATCAAAAAATGGGAAAGAAAATGCGAGCAATTTATGATAAAATTAAATTTTTTCTTACGAAAAGAAATCATCTCTTAAAATTATTTGACATAATTAAAAAAAATAATCATGAGCTTTAATTTCAAAGATAAATTTATTTGATCTTTATCTTAACAATCATTGTTAATAACGTGTTTTCGGATATTAATGTAACACGTTATGCAGCTATTAGTGTAGTGATAGATAATAAACTTCACATTGTTGGAGGTGCTAGTCGGGAATTAAAATCTCCATTGAATTCAATAATTTACGTGGATTTAACTAGTGATTTTGATGCTAGAAATGTGTCATGGGTAAATGGCAACAATATACCTGTAAAAACTTCTTGGGGCGTAGGTGCAGTCGTCGGATCAAATAATTCAACAATTATTTTATTTGGTGGACTAATGAAACCAATGAAAACAACCGATTTACTTCATACATATGATGCAAATACAAAAGTTTGGAATATTCAAAAAACAACTGGTATGGCTCCCATTAATCGTAGACTGAGCAGTGTTGTTGTGAACAGTATATTTTTGGTGGGACAGCAGGTCCACGTACTGGATCTTCTACTCATCAATTTTTTAATGACATGTACACTTTGAATACGGTGGACCTAACTTGGAATCAAGTCGTCTATAGTAATGATCCATCATTTCCAATTTTTGGTCATACTTCAACTTTGTTACCTGATGGTAGAATTGTATTTATTGGTGGAAATCAGACAACTAATATTACAGCTAAAACTTTTCAATTAGCTGACATGTATAAAGTATGCATTATTTTTTATATATTTTCTGTTTTAAAAAGTAAAATAATTTATTTAATTATTTATTTTATAGATAAACATTTTTAATACAAAGGATTCAACTTGGTCAATAATTAAGGTTTTTTATAGGAATATCTGAATATTTATTTTGCTCTTTTCCTATAATTTAGACAGCAAATGGTCCACTATCTTTTCAATCTCGATCTGGTCATTTAGCTGTACTTTGTAATTAATTTTGAATTAAAAAAAAATCGTGCTAAAATTATATATTGATTGAATATTCATGGAGAATTAATAAAGATAACGAAAAAAAATTTCACACACAATTTGTATAATAATAAATCACTATTAAATTATATCAAAAGTATAAAAAAGTACAAATAGTTCATTTATTTATTCAATATTTTGTCAGGTTTCTTTTTGATTCAATTATAGCTTGAACCCTCAAGGAATGCTTTCTACAAATTTTTGCAAATAATCACAATCAAGATTAATCCACTCATCCACTAAATAAGAGATCAATTCTTTTGTATTTTTTGGAGTAACAATAGTAGTTCGATCTTAAACACTTTTATTATACAAGTTACTTGTGATCGTGTGCATTGGAAAAGTGTTTAAATAAATAATCAACATATTTTTAATTAATTACCATAATGTAAGCTCATGGGAAGATAATTCTCTCATTTCAAAATTTTCTTTATATGTATCATCTTCAAAATTTACATATTTTAACCCCTTGCATGTTCATTGTTCGACTTTACATTTCACATCTAAAAAATGGCAAGATTTCACTAATTTTTCCAGGATTCCCAATTGCACATTGGATGTTATGCAATTTAAATGTTTCTTTGGCTTCTGAAGGATTCCATCCTAATAAATTGTATACACTAGCTGTACTAACCTTAGAAGTATAAGGGTATTCTTGGAATTCAAGGTAATATTTCAAAGTTTCAATTTATATTGAGCGACTAAAAATAGTATGAGTATATGACTATAATGAGATGTAAAAAAAAAGAAATAGATTAATTGATAGTTTATTATAGTTTTTAGATATTAAAAAAAAATTATTACACTATGATCCTCCACATCAATAACATTGTTTGTGTTGATGTATTATTGTTTTCAATTGAAGGACTAGAGATTGTACAAACATCATTCAACTATGTATTAAAAAACAAAGAAATAAAAATTAATTGATTGATTATTAAAGTCTTAGATGTTAAAAAAATAATTACATTATTATTTTCCACATCAATAACATCATCAATATAATCATTTTCCACATCAATAGCGTCATTTACATCATTATCATCGGGATAATCAAAATCAACAATTGATTAAAGTTTTCCATTTCTTCATTTTCTATTGTTGTTTCAGAAATGTCAGAATTCCCATGAAGTTGAAGTAGTTATCTCTTTAACCATGCTTATAATATTTTTTTAATATTAATAAAATATGCAAAAATAAGGGGTGGATATATTACTTACTTGATAAAAAAGAAGATCGAAAATCCAACATACTCTTGAGTTCAAAGGTCTGAGAAATTTTGAATTGTACCAGACTATAGTACAATTATATACAGATCTTTAGTAAATGTACTCGAAGAAGATATGAGAATGACTGTAAAGTGTTCAAGGTAGCATGCGTGCTTCAACGTCTGCCAATTTCCGATAATCAAGCATCACATATAAAAATGTTTCTTTTTCAACAGTATGCCATCTTGACATCCTCTTGTATTGTAATAATAATAATACTATTAATAACGATTACAAAAAGCAAAATACCAATCATTTACAATCTTGATAAGGATCTTATGATTACCCAACAAGTTCTGTTCCGCGTTTTGATTCCATTTAAAATATTTATAAACTAAAAGACATACATATCAATGCAAATAAAAAAAAGTAACTCTGTTATTAATATGTCTTCGTCAGGAGACTCGCGTTTTGTCATTGAAAAATAAATTGTTTTTCCCCAAAAAAAAAAATCAATTCGCGTCAACCATAAATGCTGTACACGTTTGTCAATCAAATTACAATTATTTTTTTTTTTAAGAAAAAATGCCTGGAAGATTAAAAAGAAGAAAAGGGAAAAATAAAGAACAAAATGGGTAAGTGTTTATTAAAAGAATGATTTATTCCTCGGACGCGTCACGATTTTGTAGTTTTTTCGAGGTTATTTGTCGCATTTCTACTTCTAAAATTGTTACTATAAAAGGCTGTGCTGAATAAATATAAGGAATTAATAAAGAGAAATAGTAGTATTGTCATCATATTATATGATTTTATTTAATATTTAATACTAAACTTACATCATAATAAATGAAATGTTGATAGCCCTATTATCATACTACAAAACTTGATCACAGTATCAGAAAACAGCATTTCAGACGGTACAGATGAAAAAGAAACTGTTGTAATTGTGGTTTTTAATGCGATTACACAAAAATTTTCGATCAAATGATTATGTTGTACGTGAAAATGAAATTATGTGAATTCAAATTTACATATGTGAAATAATTTCAATTTCACATACAGCAATTACACAAAACTTTAAATCAATTAATGCAGATGGTTGATGGTACCAAAAGTTAAATCTGAGAATGTAAGGTGGTAATTTATACATCTTCGTCATTTCTCTCTTTATATTGGAATAACGGGTAATGTAGGAAGTCAAATATAAATTTAATAGGATCACTGTTTTTTAATAAAATGAAATTATATAAGCCAAATGAATTTCAGGAATTTTATAGTTGACTATTAGTATTAGTATTTCTTACCATCTAGGGCGTAAAGTAAAATAATTAATTGGTAATAGTAAAGTTGCATAATTCGTATTACAGACAACAATCAAAAAATATTTTGTTGTTGTTTGACAACAACAAAGAGCAATGCATAAATTAAAACATTTGATTTTTTGCAAAGCTTGAAACTCTTTTTAACTGTTTGTTTTGAATATTTAGAATATAAAAAAATAATAATAGTAATTATGGGTTTGAGTTTCAAAGATAGCAAATTTTATTTAATATTTATTGTAATATTTATTATTACTAATGTGTTTTCTGACTCTAGTACAACACGTAATGTAGCTGTTAGTGTAGTAGCAGACAATAAACTTTATATTCTTGGAGGTCAAAGTATAGGATTAGCAATGACAGATTCATTGTTTTATGTGGATTTAACCAAAGATTTCAATGCTATAAACGTACCATGGGTAGAAAATGACAAATTACCTGTAATTAATTCTTGGTCTGTAGGCGCAGTTGGTGGATCCAACAAATTGACAATTTTTTTATTTGGTGGAGTTATGAGAAATTCAATTACTAAAAAATATGATTTCACCAATTTGCTTTATGCATATGATGTAAATACAAAAATTTGGAATGCTCCAAAAACAACTGGTATTATTCCTGTCAATCGCAGATACGGTAGTGCTGCTGTGGATGGTAATGGAAAAATGTATATTTTTGGTGGACTTACAGATGCAGCTACTGGATCTACTGTTCAATATCTCAATGATATGTACACTTTGAATACAATAGACCTGACCTGGAACCAATTTCTCTCTAATAATCCACCATCACCAACTTCTGGTCATACTTCAACTTTATTACTTGATGGTAGAATTGTAATTATTGGAGGTGGAAATAGTGTTATGACTGACATGTATAAAGTATACATTATTTTTATATTTACATATAAACATTCAGTTTCTTTTTTAAAAGCGAAATAATATATGCATATATTTATTGTTGAACTATTTCTTTATTTTATAGATATCAATTTTTGATACAAATAGTTCAACTTGGTCAACTATGGTAAATATTTATTCAATTAAAATATAACATTTACAAAAATATTTTAATTTTCTTATATGTGGATGAAAATTTAGATACCAAATGGTCCACCAGCCATCCAGCCTCGAAAAGGTCATTCAGCTGTACTTTGTAATTAATTTTTTTAATTTAAAAAAATTTTTTTTTTAAAAAAAAAATTTATACAGTGCAGGACACCTAATCCCGCAACTTACTGCGCCACGACGACGAATTTTGGGAAAAAATTTCCA